GGGGGGATGCACTGGGGGGGGTGCAGGAGGGGAGGGGGGGGATGCACTGGGGGCGTGCAGGGGGGCACTGGGGCGATGAACTGGGCAACGATGAACCGGGGCGATGGATTGGAGCAGGGCACGGCTCGATGGGCACCGCGGCCACCGGGGGGCTGGGCAGGGCAGTGTCCCTGTCCCCACCACCCCCCGTCCGGCCGCGCAGGCAGGGCTCGGCACCGGGCAGCACCTCCCCTCCTCACACCCCTCCCCTCTCCCCGCACACGTTTTGGGCAGGACCCCTCTCCCCCCGCACCCCCTTTTTCCCCCCACGCTCCCCGGTTTCTGTTTCCAGCCACTTTCCAGCCGCTAGACCTTGTTGGGATGTAAAGAATGTAATTTATCGGGAATTCACTGGCCCATACTTGCCTTTCACTGCTACAAACGACATATCTATAAATATATATATAAATATGGGTTGTTTTCGGACTGGACTACAGTGATTCACTTTCTCTGTTTTTTTTTTGTTAGAGTTTATTTTATTTGCTGGTGTCGGAGAATCCGCGTGAGAGTGATTTTTTGCTTACAATTAAAGGTGAAATGGCTTTACCCGGCCCGGCTCCGCTGCTTTGCTTCCCCCCCTTCCCTCCCCCTTCCCAAAATCCCCCCAGACCCCCCGTTGTCCCCGAGCGCGGGTCCCTGCAGATGGCGATGGTGCTCCGAGGAGGATGCGGAGCCCTTCCCCGCCTTCCTCCCGCCCCGGCCGGGCTGTGCTGGGGGCCCTCAGGGCGTGTGCGAGCCGAGCCGGGCCGGGACAGCGCTGCCCCTGCCCCGGTCCCGATCCCGGTCCCGGTCCCGATCCCGATCCCGATCCCGATCCCGCCGCGATGTGAGCGCTCCCGCACCATGTCCCGGCAGAGAGGTACGGGGGGGGGGCACAAAGCGATGCGAGGCTGAGGAGGGGAGGGGTACAAGCCTAAAAAAGGGGGGGGGGAAAGAGGGTAGAGGGCGCGAAGGGGCTGCGTGGGGGTGCCCGCGCGTGTGCGGCTGGGCTTGGGGGTGCCCGGGAGGTGTGGAAGGGGAAAAGGGGTGTAAGAGAAGGAGGAGAGGGTGAAAAGGGGGGAGAGCGGGGGTTTGGGGTGGTGGAAGGTGCGGGGGGCTGCGGGAGGGGTACTGGGGGTGAAGGAGCAGGGACGAGGTGCCCTCCAGCACTGGGGTGCCGCGGCAGGGAGGGGGGTGCCAGGGCTTCTTCCAGCGCCCTCCCAGGGGCAGTTTTGGGGGGTGCAGAGGCCGTGGGGGAGCGTCCCCGCCCTGGAGCCGTGGCCTGGAGCCTCCCCACATGACGGGTCACGCCGCGGGCAGGAGAGCTCGGGGCGGCCTCCAACCTCCTCTGAGTCATCCCGCGCTGGGCCAGAGCCACCCCCGGGGTCCCCCCGAACCGCTGCCACCGCCTCTGCACCCCGCAGCGCCTCCGTGCAGGGATCAAAATCCACGTGGATGCAGGGCAGAGGTGCCAGCCCCGAATTCCAGCCCTCTCATCCCCCCGGGGTGCGGGCATCACCCAGGCATCCAGCGCTCCCACGGCATCCCTTGGGCAAGCCCTCTCCTTTCTCCCCCTCCTGGCCTTCCTCCTCCTCCTCCCCCGAGGATGAGGATGCGGATGCCATGAGGATGAGGATGCCACCGTGCCGGGACATGTCCCGTGGGAGAGCAGGGAGCTTTGCTAGGAGACCACGCCGTGTTTTGGGTGGGGGGGAGGCGTTTTCCTCCCGCCCTGGAGACCGAGGCAGATGTTTTCCATCCCGGCTGCCTTTCCCTTGGCACGGCACAGGCAGCTGGCACGAGGCCACGGCTGAGGGCAGCCCCTGCCTGCCCTGCACTGGCCGTGGGCACGGCCGGGCATGGATTCCCTGCCCCACCGAGGGGGGAGCGCCGTGGGGGGGGTGGGGGGGCTGCAGGGAGGGCAAAAGGGTGAGTGGACGGAGATGTCATTGCCGAGGAATTCGGCCTGGGCGGAGGAGAAGAGAGAGGGAGGGAGGGGCAAAGCCAGGCACGCTGGGCAGGGGGCACAGTCCCCATGTCCCCCACGCTGCACGTGGGTCCCTTCAGGCAGCCCCTGCTCTCCCCCTCCCACTCCAGACTTTTTCCCCAGGGAACTGGTCCCCCCCTTCCCCAGTTTCCAGGGAAATCCAGATGTTTGGGCCCAGCTCCGGCATTGCTCAGCCTCACTGCACTGCCAGATGTTTCCTCTCCCCCCGGGCAGGGTGTGTGCTCCCAAACTGGGGACACTGGGAGGGGAAAGGGGTCCCCCTGTGCCAGCACCTCCCAGGGGGCTTCACCCATGGCCCCTGTAACGCACGTGGGACTGGTGGGCTCCTTCCCCCACCTGCCCTCACCTCCCCTGGGGGCTGGCACCTTCTTTGGGCGCACTGCATCCCTGCTAGCCTGGAGAAATATGGGATTTAGGGATATGGGATGTCGGGGTCACCTGGGGCACTGCAGGGGCTCACTGGGCAGTGTCCTGGTCGGTGGTGGTTTCGCTGGGATTGTCCCTGTTCCAGCTGGGAAATGTCAGGGGGACTCAAGGAGGGGCAGACCCTGTGCCAGGAGGTGGTGGGTTCCAGCAGCGGGTCTGGAACGTTTGATCCCAGCTGGGAGCAGGGAGCAGAGCCCGGAGCAGGGCCGTGCAAATCACTTCCAGATGCTCAGCAGGACGGAGACCGAGGGGAGCCAGGCAGAGACCCCGGGGCAGCTCAGGGGGCATCTGCCCCTTCCTGTGTGAAGGTGCCCAGGGTGAGGGGGCTCTGTGGGAGTGGGGCTGGGGGTGTTCCCACATGTCCTGCCCTGCCATGTGCTCCCTCAGTGCAGGAAACACCTGCACAGAGCCCAGACCCCGAGCTGCCACCCTTGGGGGACAGAGGGGCCCTCTCCCTGTGCCCACAGCCCCCCATGTCTCCCCCGCCTGGGGGGGTTGTGGGGTGGACACGGTGCTGTCCATCCCACTGCACAGGCTGCAGGATTCCCATCTTCCCTGGCACAAAGCAGCTCCTTGTCCCGCTCCATCCCTCCTTCCTGGCACGGCAGAGTTGGGGTCCCTGGTGGGTGCTGAGCCCCGACCCCGCTCCCTGCCCTCGGAGCAGGCAGTGGGGGAATGCTCAGCATTTCAGCCTTCGTCAGCTGCTCCCACGTGCCAGGCCTCCTCCTCCTCATCATCCTCCTCTTCCTCCTCGTCCTCTTCCTCCTCCTCCTCCGTGTGCCCAGCGCAGCCCCCAGGCCGTGGCTCCCCTCGCCCAGTCGGGAACAAACCGGCTCTGTGAGGGCACACAGAGGAGCCTTCATCCCCGCGGGTCCCCAGCCCCCCTCCTCATCCTCCCCCGTGCCCCTGGGCCTGTCAATAGTGGGATTGTGCAGGGCAGGGGCAGGTGCTGGAGCGGGGGCACGACCAGTGGGATGGGGCACGTCACCCCCCTGGCATCGGGGAGCCCCTGCCCGCCCTCCTCTGGTGGCTGCGGTGGCACTTCCCTGCCCCTCGCAGACCTGGACAAGCTGCTGTCGGACCTGCGGTCCTTCCTGCTCATCCTGGACCGGGAGAGCCTCAGCGCCGCGGCTCGGGCCAAGAAAAAGTCGGTGTCCGACCTCCTGTCCCGGCTGCAGAGCCCCCCGTGTGAGTGCGGGGCCGGAGGGCGGGGGGAGGCCCCCGGTGGGTGCCCGGTGGGCAGCAGGGAAGGGCGCAGGGGCGGGGCTGTGACCGGGCGCTCCCCCCGCAGCAGAGGATGCAGAGTACATGATCATGCGCTGCCTCTCGCCCTCCCCGGGGACCCCGCAGGGCTGGACCGGCCCGGGTGAGTCCCACGCTTCGAGCCACCCTCCCTGTCCTCCGCGCACGGCTGGGGGTGCCCGACCCCTCTCCGCCCCGCAACGCCGCTGCCAGTCCCGCTTTTCCCCCCAGGATCCAGGACGGCGGATGCAGCGGGAGGGAGAGGCTGCGAGTGCCGCCCGGCCAGCGCCCCCAGCCTGCACGGAGGGGTAAGGGGGGCACTGGAGGGCGATGGAGGGGCTGCGGGGGGCTCTGGCAGCGGCACAAGGGATGGCAGAGGGGCACCGGTGGCCATCCCTGCACTGAAACCTCACTCAGGCGGGGGTGGGAAGGTCCCCGTGGTCCCACCCGCTTCAGGTGCCTCGGGGACCCCAAGAGGTCCACGCGGGGGGGGGCAGCACCTTTGGAGCACCCCTTCTCCCCCCAGAACAAGGTGCTGGGGGGTGTCTCACCGTCCCCACCGGCCGACGACTCGTACGAAGACGCGGAACCCCAGAGCGGATGCTCCGGTGAGGACCCCCCCGCGCCCCCCGCCCAGCCCCGGCGTGCGCCCACCCCCCTGACCCCGCCCCGGCCCGCAGGCGGGGCCGACACCGACAGCAGCCACTACGAGTCGTACGAGGAGGAGGAGGAGGGTGTGACGGACCGTGCCCACTACCTGAGGTGGCCGCTGGGCACCAGCCCCGAGGCCGAGCCCCCCGGGCGCCCCGAGGCCCAGCTCTGCGGCTTCCTCTGGAGGAAACGCTGGCTGGGACAGTGGGCGAAGCAGCTCTTCATCGTCCGGGAGCACGTGCTGCTGGTGAGGGGCTGGGGGAGGAGGAGGAGGGATGGGCGGGTGGGTGGGAGAATGGATGGAGGGATGGTGGTTGGAGGGATGGGCGGGTGGATGGTGGATGGGTGGATGGATGGATGGACAAATGGATGGATGGGTGAACAGGTGGATGGATGGATGAGTGGATGGATGGATGAGTGAATGGATGGATGGCTGAATGGAGGTTGGGAGCAGGTCTCCACACCCTGCTGACCCCCTGTGCCCCCGCAGTGCTTCAGGTGTGCCGCCGACCTGCAGCCGGTGCTGGAGCTGGACCTGCGGGGCTGCCGCGTCACCTACAAGGACAAGCGAGGCAAGAAGATGCCACACGCCCTGAAGGTGACAGGCACAGCAGGAGAGGTGCTGGTCATCGGCTTCCAGAGCCGGCAGCAGGCTGAGGACTGGAGGAAGGTTTGGAGGTGTTGCAGCCGGGCAGGAGCGGGGTGGGCAGGGAGAAACGGGGGCACGGCCCTGCTGGAGTGCTCCTGGGAGGGCTGGGGGTGATCCTATCTGCTCCCAGCTCCTTTCCCGGGGGTGTTGGAGCCCTGTTAGAGGGGGAGCAGGAGCCCGGGGTGCAGCGCTCCCCATTTCCCTTGGCAGGTGATCGAGGAGGTCAGCAGTGATGCCCCTGGGGGGCTGGCAGCCCTCAGCGCCCCGGCGTCCCCTTCCTCGAGGCTCAGCAGGGTGAGCTTGTCCAGGGAGACCCGGGCACGGGAGAGGGCCAGGAGCACACCCGATTCCACGTCCTGGTGGCCCTGCTGGGTGACACCAAGGAAGGGTTGGCTTGGGGAGGGGGTCAGAGTGCTGGAGGGGGGGGATGAAACCCGCAGAGTCGGGGCTCTCTGCACCCCCATTCTCAGCCTGCCGGCCCCCAGCTCGGCAGGGAGGAAGAGGAGGAGGAACAGGATCGCTCCCAGCAGAGCTCCACCCGCAGCCCACAGCCCGGCGAGGACACCAAAGGAGGTGGGGTGCATGGGGAGGGGGCAAAGGGGGGTCCTGCCCCCCTCACACCACCTCTGACGGGGTCTCCCGGCCCGCAGGGTTCCTGGCGGTGCGGCTGCGGGGCCGCTGGCAGCGGCTGTGGTGTGCCGTGCGCCAGGGAGCCCTGCGCATGTTCCCGGAGCCCGGCCCTGCCCAGCGCCCCGTCTGCGCCCTGCGCCTGGACGGCTGCGAGGTCTCCCCCGGGGCGGCCGCCGGATCCCCCCAGAACCTGCGCATCCGCATCGCCCAGCGGGGCCGGGAGCTCGCCCTGCTGCAGGTGAGGGGCGGCCGCGGTGCCTTCACATCCCTCCCTCCAAGGGGGGGGCACACGCTGAGCCTGGACCCCCCTGCCCCACGCCAGGCCCGGTCGGATGAGGAGAGGGAAGCCTGGCTGAAGACCCTGCGGGCCAGGGGAGGAGGGGAGCCGGCGGGTGACGGACCCCACAGCAAGCCCCCCCCGCCTGGCGATGCCAGCAGCCGCCCTGCTGCCGGGTAAGGAGCTTCTGGACGAGGCAGGGCCACCCCCAGCCCTCCTGCTGCTCTGCGGGGTGTGGGAACTAACGGGCCCCCTCTCCTGCTCGCAGCGGGCTGATGCTGCGCCGTGTGTCCACCCCCAACACCTACATGGATGACCCCTTTGGGCAGCCCCCGCCAGCCGAGGCCCCCAAGCACCTCTACTCCAACGCAGAGCGGCTGCAGCAGCTGGTAACCTGCTCATGCCACCCCCGGGGTGGGGGGACGGGCTCCCACCATCCTCTTGCCCACGGGATTGTCCCATATTTCCTTCCACAGCAGCAGAGTTTGGACCGGGCAGTGCAAGGGCAGCGCAGGAGACCCGTGTCTGCACTGCCCACCTGTGCCAGCAGCAATGCCCTGGGCAGTGCCCGGCCCTCAGGTGAGTGCCTGGCCCGGCAGGCAGGTGAGAGGGGCTGGGTGCTCCTCCCAAGAGTGCAGCAGGGTCCCCCCATGCACCCCAATCCCGGGGGCTGGGGTGAGGGCTGTGGTGCCCATGAACGTGGTGCTGTGCCATGATTTCCCAGTCCTTAATCCTGTGCATCCTTCCCCTTCCCTTCCTCCCCAGCATCCTCCTTCTTTCATTCCTCCCCAGCATCCTCCTTCTTTCATTCCTCCCCAGCATCACTTCCCTGCTCTTCCTCCCCAGAATCCTTCTTCTTCCCATCCTCCCCAGCATCCCTCCTCTTCTCTTCCTCCCCAGTATCCTTTCCCTGGCCTTCCTCAGCAGAATCCTTCCCCTTCTCTTCCTCCTGAGCATCCTTCCTCTTCCTTTCCTCCCCAGCACCCCCACCAGCTCCCCGGGGCAGAGCTCCCAGCCCACAGCAGGCAAAGGAGAACCCCAACCTCCGGAGCAGGGATCTTTCCCGATCCCAGCGCACCCTGACACTGCCCGAGAGGAAAGGGACTCGGGATGGGCTGGACATCCTCATTGGTAGGGTCACAGAGGGGCTCTGCCCTGCTGCCAGGGGCTGCCTGGTCCTTGCTGGAGCAACTGGCAGGGTCAAGGCGTGCCCGGGCTTGGCAGTGCTCCCGCTGTCCTTGCAGGGAAGAGAGCCTTTCCCAAGCTGGAGGAGAAGGTGGGACAGCTGGAGAGGGCCTGCCGTGTGAAGGGCAGGCTGAAAGCCGGCTCCGAGATGAACCTCCTGGCCATCGGGAAGTCACTGAAGGGCCACATCGCTGCCACCGCCAGCTCGGCCGGCTCCGAGGTGGGGGACACGGGATGCAGGGAGAGCAAAGGGTTTGGGGGGCTGCCCTCACCCTCTCTCCGCTGTTTTTCCACCAGGGATCATTCCTCAGGCCGCTGCTGAAACGCACCACGTCGGCGAGGAGCGCCCTGAAACCACCCCCGTCGCCCGTCATCGTGGAGAAGGGGAACGTGAGGCAGAAGAGGAAGGTACCCCCGGGGTCCAGGCGGGGTGGGAAGGGCTCAGGTGATCCCAGGGCACGGGGAGACGGGGGATTGACCGTTCCTGGGCCGCCCTCCAGGAGTGGGAGATGAAGTCTGCGATGTGACCCCGCCCGCCTGCAGACGGACCTGCCGGAGCGGGAGTCTCCCGGCTGCGCGTGGATCGTGCAGGACCGGCCTGGATTCAGCCTGGAATCTGATTTTTATCCGTCCAGTATCAACGCTACCACTACGCACATCTATTTTTTATATATAGATATATAGATATATACATATCAAGCTCTCCCTGGGTGGGTCTCCAGCCTCTCCCCGCTGTGTTCCCTCCCGTCCCAGAACCTCGTTTTCGGGGTACAGAATTCCCAGGTACAACTTCCTGAGCTGCTGGCTCTGCCCCCAGTGTGGGTCCGGTACAAACTGTGCATTGGCAGTGCCCCAGCCCCCCCAGGACCCCCATTTGGAGGGGTGGGTACAGATCCACCCCGGATCCAGCAGCTGGCGGGGCACACACACAGTTCAGGGGCATCCAGTTCTCCATTCCCTGGAGCTGGCAGGACCCAGGCTGGGCCCTGGGTGGTTTTCCAACAGCTGTGCTCCTCAGGGCTTGGTTTTCGTTGGAGAAATGTGGTTTTTTGTTTTTTGTTGGTTTTTTTTTTTTAAGGACTAAAAAAAAAAAATATGTCATAAAACGTGTGTTGTGCTGTGTGAAAGGGAGAGCTGGGGAAGGGGGATGTCCTTGTCCTTGTCCTTATCCTGGTGCGTTATGAGGGGTATCCCCACCCCAGTGCAGGGAGGGCTGTCCTTGTCCATCCCTATCCCAGTGCAAGGTGTGTGTGAGGTCCATCCCTGTCCCAATGAGAGGTGTGTGTGAGGTCCATCCCTGTCCCAGTGCAAGGTGTGTGTGAGG